ATTAGAGCTCACAGTGAATACACAACCTATCAATGAATGCTCAAAGTCAGTACTATTTTTTGCTGCCGTCTAATAACTGCCAGGCAAGAAAAGTAATTTAAAAACCTGCTCACAGCTGGTTAAAATATGTGATGGAAATGTTGAGTGAAGGATTTAAACAGGGATCTGCAACATGAATACATGTTGCTTACCAGGATCAAAATAGTATTATGCTTAGGAATTAATCTTTGCTAAGCCAAAGACAAATCTTCTTTTTTAACAATAATCTTAACCCGATATTTATTTCAGTGATGTTTTCATTTATGTTGCATATTATCATTTCATCCCTACAAATAGTTTCGAATACAAACCATTTTATTTTGGGGCAGATATTTCATCAGCTCAGCACATAAAACCATTGGCTGCGCATTCAGAAAACTATTCTTCCAAATGGAATATTAGGACAAAATTCCATTTAACTCTGTGTGTGGACCTTTGAGTTAGTAACTACAACTGTCTACGCCTTTGGATTTAATGGAAGGAATCTTAGAGTAGTATTTAACTATGCTTTACTCAGAGTAGACCCATTGAAATGAATGAACATGACTGAGTTAGGCATATTAATTTACTCTGGTCTACTGCTCTGAGTAAAACATATTTGAATACCACCCAGAATTGCTTATGCGTGTGTTATTAATTTCTCTCAGTATCTATTAAAATTGTATGTGAGCAAGAGAGAGAAAAAACACAAAAGGCCTTTTTTTTCATAAGGGATTGAATGGATAGGATTTTTCATTTTCAAAAAACATAATGAGAAGTAAAATATTTAACATCTCTAAAAGCATGATTTGGGACGCGGGTGGCGCTGTGGGTAAAAGCCTCAGCGCCTAGGGCTTGCCGATCGAAAGGTTGGCGGTTCGAATCCCCGCGGCGGGGTGCGCTCCTGTTGTTCGGTCCCAGCGCCTGCCAACCTAGCAGTTCGAAAGCACTCCTGGGTGCAAGTAGATAAATAGGGACCGCTTACTAGCGGGAAGGTAAACGGCGTTTCCGTGTGCGGCTCTGGCTCGCCAGAGCAGCGATGTCACGCTGGCCACGTGACCCGGAAGTGTATTCGGACAGCGCTGGCCCCCGGCCTCTTGAGTGAGATGGGCGCACAACCCCAGAGTCTGTCAAGACTGGCCCGTACGGGCAGGGGTACCTTTACCTTTACCTTTAAAAGCATGATTTACCTAAAAAATGCCCTCTAAAGGGTTGCTTCCTGGGACTTTATATAATAAACTTTCCCCCTCTTGTATATTAAGGGGCATATTTTGGAAATTGAATAATAAAATTGTATAGTTATAGAGTTTGAAGGTGCTCTGAGGATCATCTAGTCCAGGGGTAGGCAACCTAAGGCCCGGGGGCTGGATCCGGCCCAATCGCCTTCTCAATCCGGTCCACGGACGGTCCAGGACTCAGCATGTTTTTACATGAGTAGAATGTGTCCTTTTATTTAAAATGCATCTCTGGGTTATTTGTGGGGCATAAGAATTCGTTCATTATTATTTTTTCAAAATATAGTCCGGCCCACCACATGGTCTGAGGGACGGTGGACCGGCCCACAGCTGAGAAAGGTTGCTGACCCCTGATCTAGTCCAACCCCTTGCAGTGCAGGATCTGGCCCGTATGACTCGAACCTGCGACCTTAGCATTATAAGCACCACACTCTAACCAACTCAGCTGCAAGTTAACAATAAGTTTCTGGCTTTTTTTCTTGAAAGAAACATTATCTACAAATGTCTTTGGGTATTGCAGCAGACTGTAGCACTGTCATGCAGTAAAACATTATCCAGCCTGCTGTGTCAAATGGCAGGCTACACAGTGCACCTTACAAACTGATCTCCTTACGAGAGAGCACACCCAGTTTCTCACTGCAAACAATGAAAGAAAGTGCTTCCCTGTGTGGGAATCTACCAACAAGGGCACGCTCCAACCTGACATTTCCCCCATTTCCCTTTTCTTTGTTCCTTTCGATTCTTGCACACAGGCTGGCAATGCTCATACTGCAAACAATGAAAGAGCAGCACGGAAAGAACCAGACAAGTGAAAGAAAAGAAATTAAATGGATTAATTATATAAGGCAGCGATGGGAACCTGTGACTCTCCAGATGTTTCTGGCCTACAACTGCCATTGTCCCTGACAGTTGCGTGTGCTGGCTGGGGCTGATGCTAGTCACACAGAATCACAGAATTGTAAACTGGAAGGGACCAGAGGGTCATCTAGTCCAACCCCCTGCAATGCAGGAATGCCCACAGCTATCCCTAGGTGGGCTTGAATCGCCAGCCTTCCAGTTAACAGCCAGACACACTGACCCACTGGGCCACTTGAGAGTCCCGAGTCCAACAAACTATAGAGGGCCACAGGTTCCTCTTCCTAGTTGGTCAATTTCATCCAGTACTGTGTGTCCTTGGATGGTTTCAGAAAAGGATTAGACAAATCCGTGGAGGATAAGGCTATCGGGGCTACTAACCCTGATGGCTATGTTCTACTTCCACTGCCAGAGGCAGTACACTTCTGAATACCAGTTGCTGGGAATCACAAGCGGAGAGAGTGCTGATGTGCTCAGGCAGGCTTCCCACAGGCGTCTGGTTAGCTGCTGTGAGAACAGGATGCTGGAGTAGGTGGTGTGGCGATCACACAGGGTCCCCGGATGTTTCACCATCTATTGATCCCTGTGCCACCACTTTATTTCTTGCTGCCACCACCCAGGCCCTACCTGGTAAAATGCTGAGTCCAGTCAGGGTTAAATTGGAACATAAACTTCTGTTTATATAAATAAACTTGCAGTTTAACAAGTGTGTGGTTTCATAAACAGTCTCAGTCAATTACAATCATGGGGTGCCTATCCAGACCTATAACTTCCGCTACCTGCTCTCACTCACTAAACCACCTCTCAGATATCTACTTGTCTTCCTAGCTCCGAACTGTTCCTGACTCAGCTTATTTCACTACACTAACTCAACCAACCCACAGACTCTATCCCAATTCACTCCCACTCCAACCAACCTCCCAACGAACTCCTCCCTTCGCCCCTCCCAGAGCTGGTTTTATAGTCCCTTTGGCTCCACCCCAGGGTTCTGATTGGGTAACCTGTTTAACTATTTCACCTCCAGCACTCTCATATGTTAACATCACAGGTGGGCCAGTTGGCTGTTATGTTCTCCAGCATCAACTGACCTGGAGCTCAGGCAGTTGTCTTTTCCAACCTTGATACACAATTTATTTTTATTTTTTTAAAATGGAGACACCAGGGGTTGAGTCCTCAACCACCCTATAAATGTCCAGTGTTGGTTTTCGTGTATTTTAGGTCTTAGGTTTATTTGTCTGAAAGGTTGTTAATAAACATTTTAAGCAAATAAATAAATACCACTGGGGCACAGCTTTAACCATCCTTTGGTGCAGCTTTAACCATGTGTTTTATGTCCTTATTCTGTAACACCAGACTGTCCACCTGAACCTTAAAAATCTATTTAGCAACTAAATTGTGTGTCAACATTGCAACTATAATTTCCTAGACTCTTTAGATGTTATCCTTGTTAAGCTTATATTACCTTTTTTAGTCTGAGATACACATTTCAGGAGCATTATTATTATTATTATTATTTTGGTCCTACTACCTGCTTGTCTGCATTGATCCCCAAGAGAAACAGTTACAAGCCAAAAATAAGAAGCAGTAATTAAAAACGGAAATAGAGGGCTATTAAGTCAAGGGAAGAGCAGATGCAGAGAAGCAAAATGGTTTTCAGACCTGGACTCAGGCCAAAAGCTTTGTGCTGTGCTACCAACAACAATAATCCCACCTGCCAGATTGTTCCAGGCTCAGCTGATATAATCATGATGCCTTAAATGCAGTGCACACATGTGCCCCCATCTACAAACCATGTTGAACTCTTCTTTCTTCTGGGAGAGTAAATACTGAGCACTTAATAACAACCTTTCCAACTGAAATCTAGCAATAGATAGAACCATCATTATTAATTTACCACAGCCTGCGTCGCGACTGCTCTTTGAACCCTGAACTGTGATTCACTGCACTAATCGCAAGGCAAAAACTGTTGAATGTATTAAAAGCTAATGCATAAATAACAAATTTGGTTCATTTGTAACCTGAGCTGCCATGATCTTCCTCTAATAGTTCACCAAATACACAGACTTATCTTCTATCTATCTATCTAAAGGTCAGGAGGAGAAATTAAAGTGTGGATCAATTAAATGACCCCTCCAGAGATCCATAGACAGATATTTGGGAGAGAGACAGTGTTAAGGGGCCAGAAGACCATTAAAGAACTGTTGTATCTAAATACAGGTAGCCCAATATGTATGCATTTATTTAACTTCGTGAGCAATTTTCCATGCTTCATTATAACTTTCCCAAGTAAATGTGCTAGAGACTTGTTTTTTAAAACAAAAGCTGAAAACTCACAGAAGGTGCATTCCCACACAACACACACACAACTCATCATTGACCACAGAACTTTCCTCCATGAAGTGTTCTAGTTCTAGATTAATTCATTCAACCACATACTTTGCTTCTCACTTTCATTTAGGTATTTCATATCAATGTAATTCATTTCATCCCACATAACAAACTGCTCAGAGTATTTATATATATATATATATATATATATATATATATCCTGTGCTGCTGCCTTCTAGTGTACTGGGTTAGTTGAATCCAGCCCTATGCAAATATACACACGGCATATTTGTGAGTCTGATTCTGTAAGATGACTTCTTAGGTTACATGTTTCAGATGAATGATATGTTTATGACAGGAAAAGGCCACATTAAATCACTGATAAACTCAGTCTTCCATATCTTTGCCCACAGTGCTGCAGCTCTTTCCCTTCTTTCTATAGCACTCACCTTTCTATAGAAAAGTGTCAAGAATCACAAGCACCTTTCTGGAGTATTCATATAATATTGCTGCTATTTAAGCATAATGGAAGTACTGACAAACACTATGTAAAGCTAACAATACCTTTCTGAATTCTCCAGTGTTTCTATATTCACACAGCATCATATCAAAGAAGATTGGGATAGTGGCTTTCCGTAACTCAGCTTCAGGAATAAGGGTCATCTCTAAGATGGGTCCAACCATTCCAGGAATAAAGCGGATTTTATTCTGCCCTGGATCAACGTGTGAAAGAGAATATTAAAAATCGGACACAATGCATGCAGACATTCTGTGTAGCTATTCTATTATTATTATTTTAAAAAATTGTTAACCAGCCTTAATCATACGTGAAATCTGCTCAAAAGAGAGATGTACAAAAGTGTGTATAAAAAGCGATTCACACACAATTTGCAATTTAAAACCAGCAAATTACAAAAGGACAAGGGAAACACAAATTAAAACCTCAAAAAACATAAATAAAAACAATCTAAAAGTATCATATATCTTAATGCTTCAGTTTTAAATAACTGTTTTGCATACATATCTCATACACATTTAAGACGTTGTTGGTTCAATTCAGAAAAATCCTTCCAATGGACTAAGAAATGCCCCATCACATAAGTTCTACGGGTCTTCTGCTTCTTGCCCCAATATAGTGGAATGGAAAAGACTATTCCTTCTATGCTAAAAGTCCAGATTCAGTACTTTTTCGACTATACAGACTAGTATCTAATGCCCCTCACCCACATCATAGTTTGATGAGTTCTGAATATCTTGTGCCTCAATCTTTTCATAAGCTTCCCATTTCCTCTTCCAATTATTAAGAACTGATGTTGTGTAGTGGTTAAGAAGAACATGGATTATGACCTGTAGTTCAGCTCAGCCATAAATTCACTTACAAGCCACAACCCACTATGTTTAACCACCCCACTAAAGATGTATAATATTATTAGCCTTCTTTGCACAAATAGGCATTCATGAAATTCTTTGAGCACCCCATTAAAAGAATAACACCAAACTATTACAATGAATAGTATAATGAAGAACATTATAGAAACAATGCTATCATCATTATTGAGAGCAGAATTATTGATCATCATTACTGGTAGTCGTGGAATTGGCACTACTACAGGTGCCATATAATACCTGTTCTGCATTTGTAAGAACTCAATTGTTTAGTGTGGCAGCATGTACACCGGGGAACTCCCTGCTACTGAGATCAAGCAGGCACCTCCACTGTACTCTTTTTGGTTCCTGCCCAGATTTACAGAAGATTGAGGTAATTTTAATCTGTTTTAGTATTTTAACTTTTGTATGTTTTAAAGTGTGTTTATAAATGATTCTGGCTTTATCTTTTTGTAAAACATTTTGAGGGATTTTCTTCTTTTTACCGAACCAAGTAGTGTATACATTTTATGAAATAAATAAAATACATTATTGCGGCAGTCTTACACATGGCTTAACTTTGCAAGACCACAAACTTGCACTGCTGCTATAGCAGATTTGCAATTCGAGATGGAATGCCGACTCTAGAAGCACCTCACAATATCCTAGGTAGTGGCCAACTGAATGTACTTGCGCATGGAGTCAGTTTCAAACATCTCATTGCTGAGCGTGCTTGGAAAGGAAAATAATTGGAAACAATAGATTTCTTCACCCCTTCCCATCAAAACCCATCTATCAGACAACATTTTACAGGAGCCATTTGACATGTCCTCTTCTCTCCATCACAATGGACAAAACTTATCTGCCTTCATTCCTGGATGACTAATGTCAGCCATTAGAAAGCTCAGAATAGAAATAGTGTCCTGCTAACTCTATTATAGATTCGCTGTACAATGGCTTAAAAGCCATATGAAATAGAGAGTCATTGGAGTCTGCCTTAGGAGACATTTGCAATTATGACAGACAATAAAAAAATGAAGAAATGAGGTTGCAAATGTCATCTCTAACAGGAAAAAACAGCTTTTTAATATTCTTAAAATATGGCTTTTTGCAGGACAAAATCAAATGCAGAAAGACTCAAACCATTTGTTTGTTAGCTTTAATGCTCTTTTCCTAGAAATCCTTAATGATGCCTAATACTTCAGGGAAGGTAGATTAAAAAAAACCCCAAACACGAACAGTTGTGGTCCGATTTAGGATTGATTTGTAGCAGTACCACCTGACACAAGGCACCTTGTAAAACCACAAAAGAGCAGTAATCCATTCCCACATTGAAGCTCATTCCTCAAGGTCTCATTTCACAACCAGAGCTGCTCACACTTGTATAATAGGGACTAATGCAATTGTTTGGATATATTAGACCTGCCCCATATCCATTATTAAATCTTGGGGTATTTTCCCCCTTTTTTTCCCTTTTTACAACCCAGTAACTTCATACCACCCAGTAACAAATGTTCTCCTGGCAGTTTACAGTACTAGTAAGTATTTCTTCTGCAGAGCAAATAGCAATATTTAGGGGAGGCAACTTTGGTTGGGACTATGAGACAAGGAGATATGGCACAGGGTTTTTGTTTTCTAAAATAAAAATAAAAATAAATCCTCCCACAGCATAGAGATCCTGATCCCCCTTCTCTCCTCCAGCTGCTTTTAACCTTAAAAAAACACTGGTGAAAGAAAAATATTTTAAGTGAATACATTTTTTCCTAGAGATAAGCATGCACATCATGTATTGAATATGGCCTTTCCCCTCAATAATAATAAAGCTGTTTTCAAGATGTGCTTTAGTGGCTTTAAAAACATGTGTGGAACAACAATCCTGTTCTTTTTCATTTCCACTGGATATTAAGCAGCTGTTTTTACAGTTTCTGTTGTTGTTTTTAATCTCAGCAGAAATAGTAATCTGTACCTAAAGCATCTTTTGTTTTAGTACCCTATTAAAAATCAGCTGAAATAAAAGAAGAGACCCATCTGGATGGAAAAATAGTAATAACTATGAGAAACAATAAAAATCCAAAATAATTTTCATTCTCTACATTACATTTTCAAACACACATCTATACCAAAGGAAGAACATTTGAACATTTGATTTCAGTAAGGCTTTTAACAAAGTCCCCCATGATATTATCGAGACAAAGCTAGTAAAATGTGGGTTGAACAAGCTAACTGTTAGGTGGATTTGTAGCTGGTTGACTGACAAAACCCAAAGAGCTCCTCATCATCCTGGAAAAAAGTTGACAAGTGAGGTGCCGCAGGGTTCTGTCCTGGGCCCCTTGTTGTTCAACGTCTTTATAAATGACTTGGATAATGGAATTGAGGGGAAGCTCATCAAATTTGCAGATGACACAAACCTGGGAGGGGCAGCTAATGCCGCAGAAGACAGAATCAGAATTAAAAATGACCTTAACAGATTGGAGACCTGGGCGCAAGCTAACAAAATGAATATAGGATGGGGGACACCTGGCTTACTAGCAGTACATGTGAAAAGGATCTAGGGGTCTTAGTAGACCACAAACTTAACATGAGTCAACAGTGTGATGAAGCAGCAAAAAAAGCTAATGCTATTCTAGGTTGCATCAACAGAAGCATAGTGTCCAGATCAAGGGAAGCAATAGTCCCACTCTATTCTGCCTTAGTCAGACCACACCTGGAATTCTGGGCACCACAAGCTGGAATATGTGCAGAGGAGGGCAACCAAGATGATCAGTTTTCTTTTTCTTGATGATAAATGAGAAGCTGCAGTGCCAGCCTAGGTATTTGCAATCTGCAGACAAAAGATCGAAACATATGCCACTCTCCTTGGACAGGAGTTCTTTCTTTAATGACAACCAGACATTGGAGTCCGGAATACAGAGTCCGCTCATGCAACTGACACCCCAAGTGGACGAGTTCAGTTTGATCTGCCTGAATGTCAGCTTTCTGAAGCTGTCAAAGATACAAAACCTTCCAGGGTCTCCCAATGTGTTTCCACTGCAAATGGAATTTCTTCTGTTACCCATCTTTGCAATACTTTCCCCCTTCTCATCCTCTGCATATTCCAATCCCACGACACTTGGTACCTTCACACATTTAGAAGTTATTTTATGCCATACACACACCAGCCAACAAACAAACAAACAAACAAACAAACATATAAATTGCAGGATGGAGCCACTTTAAAACACAAAAATAAACCAATGTAACAACTCATCTGATCTTATTAGAAATGTTCACTCAACACCTATTTGAGGAACATCTGTGTTCCTGACTGCACTTACTTACCAAGTTTGTACCACATGTCACGAATAGCAAACCCAATCAAGCGTCTCATGTCTCCATATCTGTAAGAGAAAATAGAATACACTTAGTCATCATCAAAGCTTTGTTGTGAAAATGAGAAGGAAATATAGCTTTCAAGAAGACTTACTTGCTGACAATCTTTATGCACTTTGCATGGGAGAATTGTTCCAGCTGCAAAGAATCCTGGGTGATAAAAGCCACAGCAAGATGGAAATAGTTGTTCCACAGCTGTAAATTAAGCAGAAGACAGACCCCTGAATAGTTGTAATGGGTTTCACCTAAAATGGGAGGTGATATTAAGCTGTGTGAAACCTAAATAATTTATGAAGGCAACCAGCCGAAGCAGTGCGAGGTTGGAATATTATGCAAAGTTGGAAGCTCTTATTACCGTGCAATTAGAATAAAGGCAAGAGTGTGATTTTTATACCCGTTGGCCTGCATTCCCTCAGTAGCATCAGGAGATTCATATGGGGTTCATTAGCTAATAACAATAAACCACAATTTACAGCAGTGCCTGTGAAATGCTGCATATCCCAAGTTAATCACAACTCCCCAGATCCAAACAACCAATGTAATTATAGTGTGTTATGGGGGCATATGTTAACCATAGCTTTGTGAAAACTCCCAGTGTTTCTGATGAACTAAATTTTATCAGAAGAAAAGTAAAATATGACCAAGGATAATTTCTGTTCATGTCAAACTTCTATTTATTCCCATCCAGTGAAATCTTTCAAAAAGCTCAGAATTCTGAGGAATAAAAATGGGAGATGAAGATGAATAGATGGGAACTTTTGCCCACTATCTTTCATGAATGAAAAGCAGAAGGATATGTTTACAAGGAGGTGGTGGAAAAGAATTGTCCGCAGAAGGGCCCCTAGTTTATTGTGTCAGTACAGAAATGCCAGTATAAGTTGAGTCTTGCAGCAGTGGAAAAGCATTTATTCTTTCCCACAATTGTAGTGATTTTTGCATCCCACTGCAGCCCCCCACCCCACCCCAATGCCTCATCTCAGGATGTTTCAAAGGGAGTGACTTGGGGCTGCAGTGAGGAGGAAGAGCCAGGGAAACTGAGCCAACTTCAGGGAAAAGCAGCAAGACAAAAGGTTGAAAACTCTTCATAAACCGTGTGACGCATTACGCATAAACCAGAACTCTACTGAATCCATTAATGCATAGCTATGACATTGTCTTTCACTGTGGCATTGAGCAACTACCCTAAGTTCACGTTCAACCTGGTCTGCTGGCAACACCCCTATGCCAGCACACTTCTTTCGCACATAATGCTGCAGTAATTACCGGAGGCGAAGGGATCACACTGTTTTTGTACTTTTCCAATCTCTAAAATTAGCATATTTACCTCCCTTGCAATAAATCTCATTTATATTCACATCACAGTTCAATCAGACCCTCAAACAGTATAATCTTTGCAAGTGTCACTCTTCCACCACGATTTATCAAACAAACTTGGAAAAGGAACGAAACATAAACCGAATGGTACTATCAAAAAGTAGGGTCACATAATTTACTACTATAATTTGATAGGAGGCAAACTGATGAAAAACTAATCAGGGTCAGCAACCGAAATATTTATTGAAGAGTGAAGTAGAATTGTTCTTTTTTCACACACTGAAAAATTGTTTCACATACACCTCCCAATCTACCAATTTTATTTTCATTGCCGCAGAGCCCAACTGATGCCTAAATTCATTTTTTTGCTATTTCGATTCTAGCAACTGCATCCAGAAGGCGGTCAAAACACTTTTGGGGGAATATTGTGCTGTAACAGACAAACATGACTGCAGCTTCCGATACAGCTAGAGTTAACTGTGAGGCAACAAGGAGTGTCTGAGTGGCATCAGTGTTATCCTAATTGCTCCCTTTGTGTAAGTGTCAGAAATTGAACAGGCACAGAAAAGGAATTAGCTTCTGTTTACTCACAGAAACCCTGCCGCTGAGTCAGCAGATGGGCGCACTGAAGAAACAAAGTACAACAAAACCCCTTGCCCCTTTTTCAGATACCTGTTCTGCCCCTGCCATGTGACTAAGACAGCAAAATGCCCAGCTTCAGAAGTGTCACTTTGCTTTGACATTTCCACAAGCATTAAATTCACTTGAAGATAAACACTTGCTCACAACACATACACTTAAAATGTCCACAAACTGAAAAGGAACAAAGAAAATATATTGTCACAGTCTCACTGAATATAGTGGAATTCAGTGTTCCTCTTGTAGACAAAGAAAAGAAGTATGGCTGATGAAATGGAATGGAATGGAATGAAAATACAAATAAATTCTGTCATACTTCGAGATTGCGTTTCTTCTGTAAGCACTGCTGATGCTATCGCTTTTCAAAAACCAATCTCTAAGAGGGGCATGAGCAGTGGAGGCTGGCCCATTAGGGAAAGGGAGGCGCTTTCCCACAAACCTACAATCCACTCCCCTTCTCTGTTTCTTACATTTATATTCAGTACATCACTTCACATTTAGAGACACTCAGGACTCATTTCAGCCCATTGCCTGTGTGGGTCAACTATCTTTTCCTGCTTGGCAGGGGGTTGGACTCGATGGCCCTTGTGAAGAAGAAGAAGAAGAGTTTGGATTTGATATCCCGCCTTTCACTCCCTTTAAGGAGTCTCAAAGCGGCTAACATTCTCCTTTCCCTTCCTCCCCCACAACAAACACTCTGTGAGGTGAGTGGGGCTGAGAGACTTCAAGGAAGTGTGACTGGCCCAAGGTCACCCAGCAGCTGCAAGTGGAGGAGCGGAGACGCGAACCCGGTTCCCCAGATTAGGAGACTACCGCTCTTAACCACTACACCACACTGGCTCTCTTGTGGTCTAGTCCAACTCTATGATTCTATGATTCTATGATCCTATGATCGCTGTTCAGCACAGTCAATCACAATCATTCCTATGGTTCCACCCCAGTGTCTAGAGATTTAAAAAGGGGTTTCAAATAATAAATTCTAAAAGGAAGGGATTAGGGCTTAGAAGGGGCAGAGGACCAATATGAATCTCCATTTTGATTTTATTTTCCACTTTCCCCAATGGAGTCAATACTAGCCAATCAGCAGTCCCTTAGTAAAAGTGATTGAGGGGTGGGGGGAGGGAGCCCACTCTCTGTGTGTATGTAAGCAAAAGGAGAAAGAAAACAATTGGAACTGTTTGTGTACACACACAGAGAGAGAGAGGAACAGAAAGCAGCCACATGTGTTTTTGTATTCCAACTCCCATCAGCCCTAGCTAGCACAGCCAATATTCCAGGATAATGGGAGTTGTAGTCCAACAACAACACCTGAAGGACCTCAGTTCCCCTCCACATCTTAGAGGTACCTACAGACAGGGAGAGATTCCTTATTTATATACAGTGGTATCTCAGGTTACATACGCTTCAGGTTACATAAGCTTCAGGTTACAGACTCCGCTAACCCAGAAATAGTGCTTCAGGTTAAGAACTTTGCTTCAGGATGAGAACAGAAATCGTGCTCCGGCGGCGCGGCGGCAGTGGGAGGCCCCATTAGCTAAAGTGGTGCTTCAGGTTAAGAACAGTTTCAGGTTAAGAACGGACCTCCGGAACGAATTAAGTACTTAACCCGAGGTACCACTGTATTGACTTAAATTTCTGGCTGTATTTAGCATACATCTCAAGCTGAAAGCATGACTAGTGAGTCTTTGGGGTTGGGGCAAGGAGTTAATCATTAAACGTTTCAGTGAGAATTAGGGAAAGTAGGCAGATTTATTTATTACACAATCTGAAGCAAAGTTCCCTGATTTGCACCTACTGGGCCAGAGCTTAGATCACAACCTAGCTAAATATATCAGGCCACATTCCTATGGACTTTTCTAAAACAGCACTTGCTAGAAAAATGTCTATAGAAATGCCCTGAAAACAGTCTTATGTTATGATGGGATGTCTCAATCTTGATAAGCCTGTAAGGGAAAAAGATGGCTGTTCGCGTGTTATCTTAAGGGACACACCCCCCCCCAATATAATGCTCCTGTGGAACTAACAGGGACATTGCATAAAAGAAAGATGGCTGCTGCATGGACAGGTGTTGTGCACCTAGGATTCTGCAAAATGAGTCTGACAATTTTGAGAATATACTCATGTATATTGTTACCCTTATACTATTTTTAATACAATGTACTACTGTTTTTAATGTAATCAGCTATAACCTGTGTGAATGACAAAAGAATGAGTGAATATGTGGAAAGGTGGCTCCGCAAGGGTGCTAAAGAAGGATGACATATTCCAGTGGCTGATGGCTATCTCAAATAAACAGGACTTTGCTTATAGCAAAACATCAGATGAAAGGAAAGCAACATTCCTTGGAAGAGGAAATGGCATGTTCCAGGACAGCTGTGCCCACTTGCCTAGAGGCACCTCAATAAGGCTAGATAGGACAACTTTTGGGTCACATCACCAGAAATGCAAGAGAATGTTTGCAGTTAAAACTTCAGTCTACTTGTCACATACCAAGAGACTGAGCCAAGGAACTTTGGTGTGGTGATAGAAACATTTAAACACCATTTTCAGCAATACCCAAAGGAACTATGAAAACCTTCCACCATTGCCCTGCTCCATCTATTCCTCAGTGCTACTAGGCTGGTCAACTTGTTAGACAAGGCAACTACTTTTGGTTATTAAACACCTGTAGAGCATTCGTGGATGTGCTGTACTACTGAAAGCACTTGAAGAGATGCAATTAATAAATCATTTTTGAAGAGTAGCGCCGTTGCCTTGGTCTCTGTGCTTTACCCCCTCTGATCCAGGTTTAGGGCTGGCCCACCCAGGTGGCAGGATCCACAGGGGCAGCAGATCTGGCCTGCGAGGAGTGCATTGCTCACTTGCCACAGTGGTTGCAGCACACTCCTTGCAGGCCAGATCTGCCACCTCCTTGGCAGCTCATCATCCTGCAATGCTGCCTCTAGCCAAATAGGAAGCGCTGCTGTTCTCCTTCCAGCATGAGGAAGGAAATGGTTAGGGACTGCACCTTAGGGTCTCCTGGGCTCTGCACCCACCTGGGTCCCTTTCTCCCCTGCAATGACCTTTGATTCCCTTTTCAGCAATTGAGTAAGGTTAATTAGATTCTTCCCTTGTTCCCAATGAAGTGCTTCACTCACCCCTTCTTTCCTGGCAGGGGGAGGGGGTGCTATTTTGTGGTTTGCCTCAGGTGTCAAAATGCCTTGGTCCTGCCGTGCCTGGGTTGCATTCATGACACAGACATAGCACATCATAACAGATTACTACTTCCAATGCATTTTAGACACATTTCCCAACAAACATGGCAACCACCATGCTTTCTACTTGCCCCAAGTAGCTTGGAGCGAAGAAAGAAGAAAGGAAGGAGCACTTGGACCACCTCATTAGGTATGGGGGCCACATGCCAATGGTGGATGGGGCCAGAAGCCAAAGTGGCAAAGCAACAAATGTGACTGTTTCCTTTGCAAAGGAAACTACATTCCAGCCAAAACTAGCAGGTGTACGCACACACACTCAAAAGCACCTGGAGAGTGTGAAGCAAGGCTTGTGAGGGGTGTGACCTGCATGTGTGTGGTCAGAAGATAATTCCAAGGGTCAAACTGAGGGGCCTGGAGGGCTGCATTTGGCCCCCAAGTCTGAGGTTCCCTATCCTTGCCTTATATGTTTGGAGTGTTCATAATCATAACTTTCAACATTTAAGTGTATCAGACTAAGAACATTACAGGAGTCAAAATATCAGTACCGCTCACAGAGCAATCATTTCCCGCATTGACTTTTATCTTCCAGATATGCTGTGATAGAATATTGATAGAGAATATTTGCTACTGAAATAACTAAGTAATGGAAAAACATACGTTCAGTTCTTGGTTTTGTTAAAGGATAATAAGACAGGTACTTACTTGTTCTTCAAAATTCATGTTTTCCAAAAACTTCTGGTTCATAGTCTCAGAAAATTTGTTGATAGCTCTCAGAAACACCCTAAAGAAATAATTCAGTTGAAATTTACAATGGAATTTTATCATCTTAGCTAGTATTGAAGCACAACTAAAGTATGAATGATACACCCATAGAATACAAATTGCTTGCAACAGCATATAATTAATAGTATATTATACACAGGGAAAGCATTTCTTTGAATTTCTGGTATGCAATATGTTCTAATTAGTACTTGCCACAGAAGAAAAGACCCTGTCTTTTTGGTCTGCTGCACAATTACAATTTGTTCTTGTGAATACAGCATAGTAAATTTTTCACATTCAAGTTGCTTCTTCAGACTTAGCTGTACACAATTAAAAGAGGGGAAGGGTTTCTAACTGATCAGCCAGGCAGAAATATTAACTTCTTTAATTATTTAGATTGACTCTTAGCTTATTAGAAATAGCCTCCTACATAATGCCCAGCAATGTGAAATATGAAATTACCCTATTTATTTACCACTTTCTGACTGGCTATACATGATGTAATTTAAATCAACACAACCATTTTTTGGTGCAAAAAATTCAAGTAACTACTGCTTTTAGTAATTAAACAGAAAGGCAGACTCATATGTCTTTCCTGAAAAAAAACACATGATGGCTTATTAATACAAAATATTTCAACACCCATTCCCTCTTATTAATAGAGAGACTCTGGCTTCTGACACCTCCCCGTTTCTGAAAACAGACCCCCACTTAACACTGCTTAATAGGTTACTCCTGGAACTTGGGTGAGGAGAATTGGGAGGGCTAGAATTTGTAGAAAGAAAACACTTGGGAGGGCTTGTTGCATGCACAAAATTGTTCTTTGGATCTCAGCAACACTTTAAGTAAAGAGAACACGATTTAATTCATTAACATTTGCAGACATTAGTCACTAAATTATCCTCTCTCTGGTGGTTTTTGTAAAATGTATACACACGCACACAGGGATAGGAACTGGTACACTTATTAGCACCCCATGACAAGCATTCCTTGTAATGCATGCTTTTTATTATGATAAAACTGATCAAATAACTGCACAATATTGTTTTGTGTTAATGCATGTGTATTGCCTTGATCATTCTGCTGTGCTATACAAAGTTGTACCAAACCATTTAACAGTTGATAAGGTTGGCTTTACGTGAATTAATTCTAGGTTTCTAACTGCCATTTAGCAGCACAACAGAAACATCCTATGCTCATGCTTTTACTCATGGTTAAACAAACCAAAAGATTAATTGCAGAAGAAACAACATAATGCCAAAAATGTGGGAAAGTGAGAGATAATCAAATATCTGGCTACAAGTGTGCACCATTTGAGTGTGCCTTGGCAATACTATCTGACTTACATTTAAGGAGATACAATAGAGGGGACAAACTTTTCGTACTTGCAGGTATGCCTACAACCTTTCCAAAGTAAAAAGAGAGTTTTGCAAGTTTCCACACACACTTCTTATGTGAGCTACTTAAGGTATTGTCACTAAGGCTTGTAATATAATGTATGAGCAAGGCCTGTTTTACTTCTGGATCTTTCAGTGTTCTCTGCTGCTTATAACATTTCCTTGTGCAAGTGCAGTCATACATATGGCTAGTTAGATATTGCAGCTTCCCATGTGTAATGTAAACCACATTTCTTAGCTAGCTCAATCTCTTTTAAAAGTGGGGAATAATTAAACTTGAAAATGTACATGTATACCTAGATAAAATTACCAGTTTGTTTAATGAACTTGTCTTTTCAGAGGTTTTCTACTACTTCAGCATCAGTCCAATCAAAATAGCAATAGGTTGACCCAAATATTCGCCCACCAAATGTTCTATTAAAATATCTCTGCACCTCAGTAGAAGGGAAGGTATCTAAGATCTATTGGGGGGGTGTATAAAAAATATTTCCCTACCCTAATACTTGTGCTATTTTGAGGGGGACATGGGACACCCCTCAGAGCTTAGATCTGGCCTAACTGAAATCCACCCTAATCATCACATATAGAACCTAAAATGGCAACAGTTTGGATTCAGAGCATACAAGACCTACTGCTACAGATCATGTAAGTAACCAGTATGACAGGAAAAGGATTGGTGTGGACATTTTCTTGTTCCTCTGTATGCAAAATACAGTGAAGATGAGATACCTTGAAAAGCACAGAGATAATTGCAAGAATGGAAAATGTCAAATTTGCTATGTGAACGACAGACACAGTTTGACAAATCTACCAATTCACAAAGAGAACACGTTGCAAGATGGAATTGAACACAAGATATGACAACCCATTATGAATGTGAAAATTTTCAGAGGCACAGATGTTTGATGTATGAACTTTGGCAAGACTTGTCATGTAGCCATCAGAGTGATGAAGTGATTTAATTTGAATGGACTGTTTTCTAGTAGGGCAAAATGCTTCCTTGCAAAATTCCTAATGTTGTATCTTCTATGGCAAAGTGAATAGGCTCACACTTCAATATTTCTTTTGAAAGAACTGCAGCAGTTTGTTTTTTTACTATTCTATTCTAACTGCACTCTAAATCCATTCTGTCCTGCCTCTCCAATAATTTGCTTCTTCCCATCTCATCTTCTAATGTTTTAGGACTGCTGTTGGTCTAATTTTATATTTTCCCTTCTACGAACCAGTAATTGTATTTGAATTTAGAGTATTCCTCAAGTGCCTAGTATTTTTTTAATTCACCTGCAGGAAAACTTAATGCAGATGTAAGTTTAGGCTGCAATCCAAGGAAACATATAAGTATTTCCTTTTCAGGCTTGAGGCATCAATGTTTCCAAAGTCCTCTGTAATCTATTCCAAGTTTTTCTTTTAAAGCAACGGGATTTGGGCAAAATATATTTTCAAAAAAGTAAAGCTCAAAACTTAATGAAAATCATACTAGATTTTTTGCTAGTATATAAGATTCTCATAGATAGGAAGATTTTGAAACAGGTACTTCAAGAGAAATGATCCTCTACCTGAATCCCAAGAAGGAGCAGTCTCTTGAGGATGCTGTACAAGATGCTCTCTCACGAATGCTTAAATTTGCATTCAGACTAGAGTTACAGTCTTTAGTCATACAATTAGAACTTTAAACCACCTGTCAAAACTTTGGCTGAGTACAGTAAATTTAATATATTTACTTTTGCAACAAAGGAAATGCTCCAATGAGAGCAGCAAGCGCTAAGATAAGGCAGAAGAGAAAGGAAGAATTAGGCTGATCCCTGCAATTCCTACATCAAGGCTCATACATTTACATGAGGACATGGCATTGTGATGTATCATGATTAGGTTTGTTTTTTATGTATTAGCTAGTTACCTGGTTAATTCAACCCATACTCAGGCCCATGTTGAAGGAAACTGATACAGTTCATAATCCTAGCATATGTTTGTTGCCTAGCAGTCTGGATATCAGCTGAATTATTCATATGAACAATACATTTATTTATTTAACCAAAGTTGATTAGGAAGTATACAAAGGTTGAAAAATGAACTGAAAAATTGTTGTGCACTTGTGTTCAGTTACTGATTCTGGATAAAAGTACACAGTCTGAGAGTGCTATAGGGTCTGTACTAGCTCTCTTCAGCAATGGTCTTGCAAAAGGAGACCCTTTTTAGAACCCAAAAGCAACATATAAATATATTCAGCGCAGTAGATTTTTTAACCTCTTTCTTTGAACTGTTCACCCCCATGGCATATCACAAAACTGATTTGAAACTCCCCTCAATATCAAAAGCCATTTGCCATGCTACATGGAGGAGCATGCTGTTTCAAGAAATATAAGCCAAACCTCCCCTGGACTTGCAGAACTTCTTTCATGATTCTTTGGATCCTGGCCCAGATTTTCAGCATGTAACAAATCAAAGAATTCCCTATAGTACTCCTGGGCTTTACATACTACTTTATAAAAGGAGAACATAACTGATTATATATAAAGAGCAGATGACAAATGCTTTCTGTGAATTGTACTATTTGTCCTCCATTCCTCTCCTGAAATATGAAAGTGTATTACATATTTGTTTTCCTTCGGGCAAAGCATCCACTGTGATAAGAGCATAAAGGATTACAAGCCAATACAAATGCGTTTCACTTTCATCTTCCCTGAGCTTTGTTGAGATACAGCAAATGCAAGAGGATGCTGCCTTTACACTTGACTCTACTATTGAAAAAATATTGAAAGAGATAAAGAAAGTGCTGTGCTTGCAGTGCTAACTTTAATTTTTCACCTTGAGGCAGCAAGAGAGAGAGAGAGAGAGAGAGAGAGAGAGAGAGAGAGAGAGAGACTGGCCGCATGAGAGTGCATTGTGCATAGGGAGGCAATAAGCTTACTACCTCAAAGCAACTATTAGAATAGTACGAAACGGGTTTATAGTGAATCAGCAAATTCTCCCTCAAAGTCAGATGCATAATAGCTTTAACTATTGTCTTCCTGATGCTGCGTCTTTGAAAATGAAGGTCTCATTCAGAAATAAAACAATAATCTAAGGACTGGGTGTGCAGCTCATATACACAACTGCATTGTGCAGATGGAATAAGAAACTTCAGTCACACATTTATATATTGCTTGAGTTGAAAGGGTTGCTTCATATTTCTCATTTTATTAGTTAGTGGTCATCTACATGCAGAAATTATGATGTAAACAGTCATGTGTAAAATGCATTGCAAGGCCTCTTTGGAATAACTGTAACTGAATGAGCTGGAAAAGTGTTTATTGAGTAGAAGCTCAAAAGAGGTCATAGACTGAAGTTCCTCACTAATCTCATACTTGTTGAGCAGTTTATAGATGAAGTGAACATACTCTCTGGTGATAGTCTTGGTGACTCAGCTGGTCAGCTGTGACATTCATATCTCCCCTGAGATGTTCTGCTTGCTGTCTGTGATAATGCATGGCTTTCTATCCAGCTAAGGAGAGGTTCTGATTCTGCAGCGGATTATAAACAAGTCTCTTCTTGGCAAGTGATATAAACTTCCATTGTGATACTATGCACTCTGACAAGCACAATAGTTTTTCTCAGCTTGTGATGCAGAAGGATTTAGTGCCAT